AACCAAAACAAAGGTGATCCGCTTGACATTAAAGACAGGGGCATTTTTCTTCAGCAAAGGTCACTGTGGTTTCAAAGCTTAAGTGTGATGTGTGGGGGGCAGCAATTTTGAAGGATTTCCTGCTTCCCCACAGGGTGACATTCTGCAACAAGACAGAGCCTCCTCCACCCAGCACCCTCACCTCCTTAGCACCCGCAACAACAACAACGAACATGTTTTGAAAATCATTTTACATGAGGGGAAACAAAAAAGTGATTCTTGTGTTATCTATTATACCAAGCTGGAAAAGACCCTTCACGCATGGAACCTTCAATTTGAAAATATAACTGGGGAGCTTTCCAAGAGTTTTGCAACTCTAGGAGAGGCTTCACGGAGCTAATTTCAGTAATGCTTGTAGGTGCAGGGCATGAATGACAAAAGAAAAAGAAAAACAATCTTGCGGGCGGACCCTACTTTTACTTAAGGGAGCCCAGAATCCCTCCTCGGCTTCCGGGTCGTTTTTTCCTGTCCGAGGGGGTATCTCCCCTCGTGGGAGCACTTCGCAGCTCCCAGGCACCCCGCCTGGCTTTTTAAATCAAAGAGCTTAGATTTCCTGAAATTGTTGGCTGGTTCGAAGTGCAGGAATCCTCTCCTCCCCTTCCCCCTCTCCGCAACCCTAGCTGGGCGAGAGGGCTGCCGGGGAGGGGATAGGGTGGGATGGAGGGCGCTGGGGTGGGGGCCACAGGAGAGAAACTAAATCGCTGTGCCCAGGACAGGAAAAGTGGGAGGGGAAGGAGGAGGGGAGGAGGTGGAGGAGGAGGAGGCCGTAAGACCAGAGGGGAGGAAAACGTGTCATCAGGCCGGATCGGGGAGCTCCGCGGCCGCCGAGCTGGTTGCCCTGGACCTCGCGGCGGGCAGAGCTGGGCGAGTGGGCGCGGGCGCCGGCGGGGCCGACCGAGCGCGGCGGCGCAAACCCCTCCAGGTCGCCCGGTTCTCTGCGGTGAGAAAACTTTCTTGGGAGGACCGGAAACTTTCCTGGCGCGCGGAGCCCCGGGAGGCGGCGAGCCGTGGGTGTGCACGACGCGGGCTGACTCACCCTGGGGACCCAGGGGAGTGAGTGGGGATGTCCCCTGGAGGGGCGAGAGCCGTAGGCTCCGAAATGGCCCGGGACCGTGGACGAAGTCACCGTCCAGCTTGTCCCTCGAGCCGACGGCAGCTAACCGCGGGGAAAGGGGCACGTTTGGGGACAGCCGGGCGGGGGCTGCCGCGTGGCTAAGGATCCGCCGACGGGACCCTGCAGGCAGGCGGAGGCACGGGCTGGCGACTTTCGCGGAAAGGAAGGGGTTGCAGGAGGTCGGTTGGGGGTGCGAGAGGGTCCGCTGCGGGCCGGAACGCGGGATGCTATGGGTCGCGGGACCCAGGCCGAGCCGGGGGGTGGAAAAAGAACGTAGGCGTGTTCGTCGCTTTTGTGGCTTGCCTGCTGGGTGCCGGCGACTCAGCGCCCCGGGACAGCCTCCTTTAACTGGCGTCCCCCTTCTTCGGGAGGAAGGAGGAGGAGGCACGGAAGGCGCCCGCACGTCCCTGGGGACTCAGCCTGCTGGGGACTCCGCGGGGGCTGGCGGCTCGGAAGCCCCGGGGCGGCTCGGCAGCTCGCTTTGCGCGCAGGCGGCATCCCCTTTCCGTTTCATCTTTCCCGCCAGCCCTCCGTGGGGCTGCGCTCTCCCCAGGGCGCCTACTGTGCGCGCACGGCGGCCTCTGCGCGCGGGGGGCGCGCCCGAGCCCGCGCCCCAGCGGTCAGACCCTCTCTTCTCGGCCCCGGGGCTCATTTTCCTAGAAGAGGCCGCCGGGAGCCTGGCCGGGTCATGTACGTGGGAATTGTGCTGCAGGACTGTCCCCAGAGTGTCTCCTGGGTTGACCGTAGAGCTTTCCCCCTGGTCTGCCAGCCCCGGCCCTCGGTCACATGCCGCCGCCTCTTCCCCCGCAGCGCCCAGAGCCCGCGTTTTGTGTGTCAGCAGCAGGGCGGAGGGTATTTATAGACGCCACTGCAATCCTGCGGTGTGCAATGTTTCAATTACAGCACTGCGATGCGCGCCCTGCGCCACGAGACTCGAGGCGCACTGCAAGTCCGCCCAGAGACCCGCACGGCAAAAGCTCTGGCCCTGGGTCTCCAGGCAGCCCTGTTTGGGAGCAGTGCCGGACCTTTTAGCCCAGATGCTGCTTTCAGATTTAAATGGCTCCCAGATGTCTCTCTCCTATGCAAAGGACCAAGGCAGGCCAGGGCAACCGAGAGTCCTGCTGGCCTTCTCCATTCTTTCCTCCACCCCACTGATCAAGGTCGGGGACGCTATTCTTTTAACCTCCCCTTGTAAGCCTGACCACCACCGTGGGTTTCAGTCCTGACATTAAATTGCCGCCGCTCCCCCCCCCACCCCGCCCCATGCTGCAGAATGTCAAACAGCCTTGTACCAATAAATTGATCGCAGGGTGTAAGGCACTGACACTGAGAACGTGAAGCATTGAGCTGGCTAGGAGGTGCGAGGACACTAGCCCACATTTTCAATTTAGCCGGTTGGTGAGGTTCCCAGCACCACCAAGAAAAGGTGCGTTTGTCCTCTGGAACCGGGGGGG